ATTGGCCAGAAGTGATAACTGATTACAATTGGCCAGAAAAGATTGCAGTTTACAAGTAATGTACAATGAAAACAAAAACCAAAATAGATGTTCCAGTAAAATTGTAAAATTAATGAGGAACTGATTGGTGAGTTAAAGAAAGAAATCTGAACCGCAGAAAGAAAGAAAATAATAAAATTCAAGATCCGCCTAGAAAGAAAATTTATTCTTTTCCTATTTCATTGAAATTCCCAAGGGTAGAAGACAGTTTTGCCCAAAGATAAATAATTGATTTTATTTAAATTCATATTTTCTTGCTTTTTTCTGTTCAAATTGCCAACTTGTTAATAAATGAAACAGGGCAAATGACAACCGACTGAATAATGACTGAGATCATCGTGATAAAAAAGAAGTGCCCTCGACAGGAATAAACAATAAAAAGCCGACATATTACTGGCGACCCACTTTTATTTTTAGCATCAAGTGAATCCCTGATAAAAATTTTGAACACAAAGTTTCGTACTAGCAGTTAGCAAAGTAAGCCTAAGCAGAAACCAGAGTGCAGATCACAAATATTTACTTAACAAATGGATAGATCATTCGCTACTTAAACATTAGAACGAGCTGAACAAATTTTAAATAACATACAACTCATCTCAGATCCTATGAAATCATTCAGAATCTTGTTTTTGTATAATATTTTTTATATATATAATCACTGTAGAATTCAATTCATCAATGATTTCAAGAAATCACAATTATGGAAAATTTGCAAAATGAAAAAAAACTTTGAAAAATTTTTTAAATTTTCCTTCATTAAGATTTCTGCCTTCTTTTTCGTAGTAACATTAAGAATAACTGATATGACTACTAAAACGTTCACAAGAAGTGTCAAGTTTTCCAATCTCTTTTCATTCTCCTCAGCCTCAACTGTTACAAACATTTTTCTTCCCAAGGCATTCGCCATTTTATGGTTTTGCTGACCCCCTTGAAAATTAATCTACTCGAGTAGAAATTATAGAATTCGATTTTGATAACAGAAGTAACGAGCAAACACAATGAATATTTTTGTTTTTTTGCTTTAGTGGATTTTATTTCGTTAAAGTCAAAACTTAAAAAGTGCCAAATCGGACGACATGAAATTTTTCAAGATTTATTTGCAATTTGACTTTTATTCGATTCGACCTTTTCTTCAAATATTCTAACAACATTATAAAATAAAATATTTTGTGAATCTTCAGAACTGTGTTTTGCCTGTGCAAACGAAATATATTTCAAAAATATGTTATTATTGTTTATGTAATTTTAAAAAATATCAAAAATATGTTAATTAATACATTTTTAATATTTTTAATATATATTAAAAATATTAATATTAAATATGTTAATCAACGTTGTTAAATAAAATAACAATGTTGAAACAATACAATTAGTTTCATGAATTTAAAAAATGAAAATTTTAACAATTTTTACCACTGAACATTGAAATATGATTGAAGTATTCATCCTGGTTATTGTTCTCTTATAATTCTATCAAAATTAGATTTTCTGTGCTACAACAATGAATTTATTCAAATTATTTGACATTTTTATGCTTTAAATTTCAAATTTCAAAATTTCGGATTCTACTGAATCAGATTTACCTTGCCTCCACAATATTTTTAGATGAACTGCTCGACGTAAATAGCTGCGTTCTGCCTTTGCGCTAAAAAACCTGTTACAAATGGCGGACTTCTCGCAAAAATTTTTGCTCGTTCCAGTAGCAATGGAGCATACTTAACCAGAAACTGGGAACACTTAAAAAAATAAGAATGTGCAGCAAAAGCTACAAAAATGGAGTTCCTGTTTATAAGTCCTTTGTTTATGAGAATTTTTTTGCATACTTCGTCAATTAATTTGCAGATATTTCCAAATTATTGCAACGCTTTCAAGCAAATCTTTTGCATTTTATGAGTTCTTTAGCATACTTTATCAATATTTATTTTTAGTGCACATTCCTCATTAATTTCTATAAGTAATTAAATAACCACTTATATTAGCGATTAGAAGTGAATATTTGTCACATAACCAAGTGATGAAGATAAGAAGATAATTCATGTCGAAAATTTAATAAAAGATTTCCTTCTTTGAAAGATATTGTAAGTCGCTTCTCGTCGGATCATACGCCCCATCCCGTTGGACAAGTCTAAGCATGTCAAGTTCGATTCCTTTTCCCTTATGAAAAACTAAATCCTCTACATTAAAACTGAGATACGGTAGGCTGCTGACGCAATAAGCGATAAGCGAGAATTTCCTCATACTGCTGAGTCAGAAGCGCTAGTTTTTCGAGAAAAAAAAACTTTTGAAAATGGCTTCGAATCTTGAATTTTGAAATTTTGATCATTTGTTTCACACACTAAGCGAAAATGAGCTCAACCAGACGGATGGTTTTCATCGTTCACCTAAGGTGACTTCTTGTTGATTTAAGATTTAATTATTTGTGCATATTTTCAATAAGCTGCATAATTGTTTTTCGACAAAAATTTTTTTTGGCCATTATTTGACTGCTTCGGCATAAAATAAGCCCAATTCTCAATAAGGGAAACAAACAAGTGAAAACCTTTAAATTTTCTGTGATAAAGTCAAAATAAACCAGAATAAACCAGAACATTTAATATTCAATAAAAAATCTACTTCCTCTGCGTTTTTCATGCAGCCTTCTCCTAACCCTTCTCTTGAATTAAAAAATTGGGGAAATGCACCTCGGAATTACAATATAAACGCAAAACACGATAAACCAACCGCTTTCAATGGATAACTTCCGCATAAACAACAAAAATTTTGCAAATCAAATTTTTTGTAAATTTTGGAAACTTTAATTTATACAAATGAATTAATGAATTTTAATAACAAATCAGAAATTATTAGATATTTTATTAAGAAATCCATTATTTTATATTTTCTATATGAAAGAAACGATTTAAGCAAATTATTTCTTTCCAAATATTTGAGAAATATAAATTATAGAGAAATTCACTTCCATTTCCACCCATTTCATTTCAAATTTGTATTTTTTTAAAATTTAAATTTTCAAAATCATTAAATTTGAATCAAAATATTTTAATTTTAAAAATAAAATGCTACTGAAAATATTATTTTTATAAAAAAATTATTAATAAAAAATTATTGATGAATGAATGAAAGCAACAAAATTTAAATTTTTTAGATGCATCATCTTTCATTTTTTATCATTTGTAAGATTTTATAGGAATTTGTCGATTGAATTATTTTATATCGAAAACTCAAATAATCAAAAGCCAAATCACATTCGTCTTTGGTAGACCGCTTGACATTTCCTCAAAATTCATCAGAATCGTTTAACAGCATTTCGAACCTGTTGAACAGTTTTTATCAATCTCGCAAATCTCCTTAATTCCTTCTCAAAATCCTCAAGTTTCTGGTGCATCATTTTGCTCCTATCATCGCCATTCTTTGCAAATTTATAATTTATGAACCGCCAGTTTTGATAATATCATGGGGAAAAATAGAGGTTTTCTGTGCTGAGGAATTATGATTACTTTATGATTGGGTCCGAGGTCATAATGGCGGGAAGAAGTAAGACAGTATCAGTATTACTAATAGACGATAGCAAAAAAAATGGAGCAGTATTTTGCGGGCGGTAAAAGATCTCCAATGGGCTCACTGAAGACTTAGGACTTGGGCTTGGACATTATGCTATCTTCCTTGTAAAAATAACTATATACCAATATTAAAAACATTTAATGCAAAATTTCAGATCTGCAACCTTTCATAACGAAGAATAATAGTGATTATTGTATATTTAACTTCGCCTTCGCCTCATCGTCCTATTAACAATTAATTGATCTTTCTTCACTCAAAACTTTTTTCTTTCTGACCAATACGAATTCAAAATGACTGAATGCATCAGCAAAAATATGTATCACGTTATATCAATTTTCACCTATCAATATTATCAATACCATTCAGTTTTCACAATAAACAGCTTTTTTGCATCTGAAACTTCGTTGAATAATAACGCTCATTTGTCAATACAAGGAAACAAACTGATTTATGAATGTTGTAGAACCTTATAAAGAATTTAAAAAATTCTACTGCACCAATTATTCTGACTATCTTCGACAAAATCCTTGAAACCTTCACAATTTCCTAGGGATCCTCTTTCCAAAAAAGGACGCCTCCCCGGAATATACAGTTCCTTTGCCTTCACATTTGATGAAGTCCAAAGCTGAAGCCGAAGGTGAAGCTGTTGAATAAAAATCGGTCGAACGATTAGAAGTCAGTTCAGATAATTACAATTTTATAATTGCGAATTTGTCTACCTGTTCTTGGGCAAAGTCCCTTTCCGGTGAGGGTCCTTGGGAGTGAAGCTGTCTTGTTCCTTACAGTTTGGAGAGAAAGATTTCGACTCTTTTTTTTTGATTGGTTTATTTTCATTGTTTTTCGAACTTTTGCGCTCTTTCTGTTAAAGGGTTAGCATTAACTTCCTCTTTTATAATTTATTTTTGCTGCCCCATAAAAACTTTGCTGTGGCTGCCTTTGCTTGCGAGAAATGATTAATTTTCTTGCCCATTTGCTGAATAGAGGAAACATCGGTCAGGAAATAATCTGATTTCCGGGCATATGTTGAAATTTTCAGTAGCCCAAAGTTTTTTGAGAACATCAAACTGCATTCCAATTAAATAGCAATATAAATTAATGCCATATGTTATAATAAGAAAATTATTTCTATAATTTCTAAATTTCTCTTTTCTCGGTCGTCTAAGCTGTAGAGTTTTTATCAAATTCGAACATTACGGAAAATAACCCTGGCAGTTTTCTGGTTTGGTCGTTAGAGGACTGTCACAGTAGTCTATTAATGTGATCACACATATGTTAATGCCTGTTTATTGGCCAAGTCAAGTTAACATTTGACAAGTGGGCTAATAATTTTACGCTTTAAAGCGTAAAACCTCTGGCGATATTTTGTCGAAATTAATAAAGAGAATTTTTATGTTACATTAATGTTGCGGATAATATGCAAAAGATGTGGTTCATTTCGTTTTCAAATATTCTTCAAGGGCAGCCAAATCATTTGTGATTCACGTAGATATTTTTCGAAATGGTTAAAAGAATATAAAGAAAGGTTTCTTGAGGTTTGTTAAATTTTTGCAAATTTTTTCACAATTTCCATAAAAGAAAGCTTTTAATCATTTAATCATTTAAATAATTTTTCTTGAGAGTCCGAGTAGCAGATAAGTTTAATAGCCTATTATGGCTGAAAAAGTAAATCGGAATGAAATGAAATATATATTTTTTGGTTTATTTTTGTAATAATGTTCATTCTCCTTAATGCTGTAATATTGTACTTTATTATTCTCGCTATTTATTGTTTTTTTTTTTTTTTTTTTTTATTGTTGTTCATTCCAAGCATATCTCTGTAACTCTGCTTAGTTTATAAATCCTTGTTTATAAATGAATACATAAATACGGACGAATTTAATGATTAACTGCAATCATGATTCGTTGATAGATTGGTCAAACCAATCACATGCTTAAATTAAGTTTTAGTTGGAAAGAGCCGCATTTTATACCAGATTTTTTGTACGTGAGGTTCGAACTTATATACCTCATTGAACTATTTTGTCGATTAAGTTGAAGGAGTTTAAGTCCATTAAGTCGCTTTTTCTTGGATCAACCAATTTATTCTTAATTAAATGATTAATTTGAATGAACAATTCTATATACAAGGAGATATCAAGATTTCTATTTTTAGAGGCGCCATAATCCGTTCTGTGAAAATTCTATTCAACGAATTTTGGAAAGAGACAAGTTAAACAAGGTTGATTGGAAGCTTATCTATTATGACGTTTCGAGTTCGCATGTTAGCGATCTTTTCGCCTTCTTTACTAGTTTCTTGCTTATTTTTCTTGCTTATTCGTCGTATGAACATTATAATTATATACGTGGTTTAAGTTTCCGGCACTCAAATTTTCAACGTTTACTGGATGACGCAGAGGAGGTTTTTTATTTTTTTTGATTTTCTTTTAATTTCCTTTCTAATTTCCTTCAATTTTTATTTTTATTAGCCAATTTTTATTAATTTAAATTTATATCATTATTTTATTCCTTTAAGCTCGGCGTTTTCATCGTTCTCCCATTATCAATTTTTGCTTTGATCGTGCCAGTTATGATTCGATCTCAAAACAGACGGATTCTTCGTATCTACCAGTATATTAAAAATCCCGAACAGTTTACGGTTATTACTTATAGATTATGCATATTGCAAAAAAAGGTAGTTTTTTTCACCACATTATAAAAAGCATATCATTATTGCTAAAATAAGATTTTTTAAATTGTGTGGACTTTTGAGAGATCTTTGTTTTCATGTTAAAATTATCTCTTAAAAAATTATCTACATAAAAATCCGTATCTCTTAAATTAGTTGAATCACAAACTAATGCTTTCTACTTTTCGTTTTTTTCATATTAACTTGACTTGATCGGCAGTTTAAGTGAAAGGAAAAGGCTGAAAACATAAGTGAAGAAGGAAGGAAGAAAAAGAAGTCATTAAGTTAGAATTACTTCTAAATTTAGTTCCAGCAGCATTTTTCAGATATATTTCAAGCGAGGCGCAATTAAATTGCTCTGGGAACCAACCAAAGATTTAACACAACATGTTTCGAGCACAGGTATTCTCAGGCACTTTGTCGGTAATGTTTCTATTAATGGAAAATATTTTTTATTGGATCATAATTCTTTTCGAGCCAATAATTATTATTCGTATATGTTAGGTTATACAAAAGTTCCACCGCCATAACACGATTATACGACTATGATTTTTACACAGTTTTTTGAGAATCTTATATCTGATTCTTTTTATGATGGTATAAATCTTTTTGCCACACAAACTTTTTTTTCATTTGCATATATAAGTCAAAAATTTCAAGACTTGGATGAAATTGAATTTCTGCCGTTCAGCTAATCAAAGAACTTCCACAGGAAGTTTGAGATCGCTGTATATATTATGTTAAAGCAGTTTTATGCACACTATTTACTGGCTGATTAGCAAGCACTTATGTGAAACCGGATTATAAAAAAAGAAGAAATAAAAATATTTAAGTATTAGCAAGGTAATAACTGATTTAATTTTTGTAAAAATTTAGTTTGAAAGAATACCAAAAATTAAAGAGGAATAAACAAAAGGATAAAAAATTGAAAGACCAAAAAATGAAAAGTTTTTAAAAATTTTTACCTTGAATTTTAAGATATTAATCCACAAATTCAAAAAATAGATGCCAATATAATCAAAAAAAGAAAGATAAGCCAACTATTTTTAAATATATATAATTAAAAGACCCGCGTAAAAGCTAGCAACTTATGGTGAAATAAAACATTGTGAGTGAGCAAGTGGGAAAAAATGATAAAATAAACTGAAACAAAATCTATTTCTCTTCAGTTAAACTGTCGTCAAACCGAATTATTTTTAAATATTCGCAATTTACAGTTTATTAACAAGCTTCAGAAGCATGAAAATTAACCAGGAAAAGTTTTTCCATTATCTAATGGCGGTGACATTGGCGCCGATGCTAATGGTGAAGGTGGTGGCGGAAAGTCGAAATTTGGTTTTTCATTGGAATAAAATCGACGAGGCGAATGCATTTCGAATGTTTCAAACGAATCGCGCAACTCTTCAAGTTCTGGTGAAGTCAACTGAAAATAAGTTTGCTTCAAGAAATAATTTCAATTCGTTTAACAACTTTGTTCGATGTTAAAACCGAAAATAGTTTACAAATAAACCTCAAGTTCGGCATCGATATCATCACACTGCTTTGACACTGGCTTCCTGCCACAAAGAATGTCATCAAGTTCAGAATAAAGCTGATTGAACAACGAATCGGAAATAGTTGCATCTTCATCCATAATTCGTAAAGCAGTTTCCTCAGTGGCTGATTCAAAAAAACGGTAACCTATGGAATACAAAATAAGAAAAAAGGTTTTTCTTTTAATTATTCAAGGACTTTTTGGCCCAATATAGCCTTAAATGGTCGCATCTATCTACCTGCAGTGTGGATAATCTTGTTATATGGCCAAACAAGATGTTAAAAAGTTATCTATCCTTGACTACTGATATCTAAGGTATATTTGAAGATATATCTAAGGTGGATAGATTTTCACGTGAATGCATCCACCTTCGCTCAAATATCATTTGCATTAACGCATCGCTTATGCTTATAAGGCCATGTTTTTCGTAACCCACTGTAGGAATTAGAAACCCGTTGTTGGAATTTATTACTCTCAGGTATTCAACCCCATCGAGCAGCTTGAGAACACCTTGCCTTTGTAGCCAGCTGGGACATCCTAACTAGTATGATTCCAGGTGTTTAAAGAAAATATGGATGCGCCAACTTCAATGGAATATTGAATATAATATAAAAATTATATGAAATTTGAAATTCTCAATAAGGAAATTAAATGTTCGCCAAATATTTGGGGTCAAGTTTGCAAAAAAATTACTATATGCCGTTAGACATCCAGCAAGCTCTAAAGCTGCAGGACTGAAATTCATAACAGGCTTCGCTCCTGCAAAATTGAATATTTAACACTTTGGATGGCTTCTTCTACTGCAGTCATCCTAATGAAACTTAATGATTTTATTAGATTGTTTAGCTGAAAGATATTTCGGTTACAAAGTTAGCTTATCAGAAACGGCTTGACATATAATTTATTACATTTTATTCATTTCATGAAATTAATTTTTTGTCTTCTATGGCAATCATTCTCACATTATTTCTAGGAAATCATAGTGCAAACAATTATGTTATGAACAAAAAACTTCTGAACAGAAAATAAGAAGCTGACCTAGAACAGAAGTTCTAGGAAAAATATAAGCCGTAACTAGTTGCGGAAGAGTACGCTTCGTATCTTCGCTCCAAATTTCCCCAGTAGTCCTCAGTGGTTGAGCTCTAGCAAAATAAACATTATGTGCAACGTCTTTAACACTTAGAAATTCAACACATGTCAGCACATTACTGAAAAAAAAACAAGATTAAAATAATAAAACATCTGTAATTTTTCAATAATGACTAAAACCTTCATTCATAAGAAATTCTCACGTTCACTCAGTAGAATAATTAAAAAGTGTTTATAATGCTAACGTTATAAATTTGTTAATATCATGGGCAGAAGTCAGCTGAAAAACAATCACATGTGTACACCACACCGGTCGACGTATAACATATAAAGCATCTGATATTCGTTCACATCTCTAATAAACTTGATTATATGAAGTAATAATCCAAAAATATTTTTCTATAATTCGAATACTAGACACATCAAACCAAATAAGCTTAATTCGAGAAAAAAGTACTATTACATTATGCGCCCATAAATCACAATCATGACTTCGCTAAATTTGAGTCGAGTAATATTCCATAATTTTTGATTTATTTATCGAATAACCTGGATATTCGCTCAAAGAGCGATGATATCCTGGTTAAGAAGCTACTCTCTCAGTTTTTTTTTATTTTAATTACTTTTAAATTTCCACTTAAACTGTCCCCTTCTTCGTTTTCCGGTGTACATGTGATTTATCAATCTTTGATCTGCTTATTGATATAGAGATCTGCAACTACGATCCTTAGATGAATTTTCTTTAACAGGTAAGACCACAAATTTCATAAAATTGCAAAAAAACCCAACCCTATTAATCAAATCGGAATCATAGGGCCAAAATAATGCATGCAAATGCAGATGGTTCACTGATGCAAAGCCGAGCAAACTGTTGAACAATACATGGAACGTATCATCGTCAACTAGCAGCATGAAATGTGCAGCAATTCGAACTGCCGTTTCATTCAAAACCTAAATTTTTAAATAAAAACCGACAAAATGCAAAAATATTGAAATATTAGTCAGCAGAGATTTTTAAGTCTTTTAAAATTAATTAAGCGAACTTAGAAACTTAATGATAAGTTTTTTTACTAATGTAAAAAATAATGCTGCATTTTTTGCATTTCATTGGCTTCCAAAATTTATTGAACAATTAGTTTAAACATTTATACACTTTGAAAATCTAATGGAAAATATCAGCATATTACAAACAAACCTGTGGCACACAGTGGCTGATTGAAGGGACGATAAGCGAATGACCTCTTTCAAGCGGTGAAGCATTAACAGCTACAATATGCCGATCTAGCGGATCACCACTACAAGGCTGATTTATACAACGAAAGTAGAACATAATCTAAAACAACAATTAACCCAACTATTGTATTAATCGATGTCTGAAAATTGTAAAAAAAAAACTGGATAAAAACTGGATAAACTCCAGCAAATAAAGACTATACGAAGGCTTAGATATTAATAATTTCCTCTGCGTAAAATTAAAACCAAAATATTATATTTTGCTATTTCATAACGATCCTGTTGGATACTTTTTCGACTAGAGATAGGATGGCTCAGTGAGTTGTTGCTTAGTTCGGAGCGCCGATGCTGGGGTTCTATTCCTTGCAGGAAAAAATCTCACCTGTACTTCTATCGTCAATAGACTCCCTGGTATATTTGACCAATGCGACAAGCCAGCGGAGTGGCTTAACCAGTAATGGTGAGGACTCTTTAAAAAAAAAATTCCTTCGATTAAATTCAAGCATCATAATCCATTCCTGCGCTTTGATGTTTAGAAATGAAATCTGTGATGCTCAAAGCCCGCTTGTAATTCTATTCCCAAGTGAACGTGCTGCCAAGGTATCATTCTAATAGCCAAAGGAGTTAGAGAAACTAGAAATGATAAGTACTATTGGAATATACTACAGTGGAACTAAACGTTACCTCTTTTTCTTTCAGTTTCGTGAAATTCCATCTCATACTATTAAATGCCTCTCGAATAGCATGAAAACGCATTGGCTTTCGTCGCATTTGCGCTCTTTCTACATTAAGCTGAACAATGAAAATCACAGGTTGAAAGAAATTTTACTTTATTGCCTACAAAAGTGAGAAAATGAAAACTGAAATAAAGAATGTATTAGTAATTATACGTTGGAAGTAAAATTATATTTATTTATTTTTGAAACAATATTAGCGAAAATGAAAAATATTAAACGATAATTAAACAAATATTCCAATTAATATAAGAAAAAAAACCTGAATGGAAAAATTGAAATCACCAGGCAAAAATTTGTACATACAATTTAAATGGTAATTAAATACTCCTTCACTTTTTGCACTTTCCCATCTCGACATTAACATTTCTTTTAACTGCAAATATATTCATACAGAGCGAATTTATAAAAGCGCATATTTTTGAAAAAACCTCTTATCGTCAACTTAGTCCAAAAAGAACATTTTCTTTATGTCAGAATCCTTGAATTCTTGAAAAAAATCAAAATCACAGAATCACAGAATCAGAATCTTATCCAATAAAAATATAATTTCATAATTTCATGTTTTACTAAATGATATTTATACATAACGCTTGCATATAAATTTGCGAAGTCATAACTTGAGAATGTTTATGAGTGCATCATACGCAATCCATAAACAATATAGGGAACATTATAATATTTTACCTGCAAGAAATATAAAGCAGAGTCATTTCCACGGAAAATCGGAGTAATGCTTAACAAATACAATAAAATTAATAAGATACTATTAAAATGCTGGAAGAAAGATTTCGAGTAAACTACGTCCCTCTTTCCAAAGATAAACCTATAAAAATTAGAAGAAATATAAATGCCAGTTAAATGGACGCCGAAGGGAAAATAAACTGAATCCGGAAGATAAGGAATTTCCGATATTATCCTTCCAGCTTTTTTACCTGAGAAACCGCCGTTCGATCATCAATTAATTCAGCGATTTCAATTCAGTTAGCATGTACAGTAAATGCGAATTTTTAGCGGATTACTCATTAAAATGCCTACTATTGAAATTTGAACAATGAAAACACAACAATTCACTTAGTTAAAGCAGCATCTCTTTTGATGGGCACCAAGTTTTTGATACATTGGAAATATATTGGAAGCATACCAGATACTCTCCACTCATAAAAACTTTTTTTTGTAAGAGTCCTCGCCGTTACTGGTTATATGTCAGGGAGCCTCTTGGCAATAGAAGACAGGTGAGTGAATCCGGCATCACCCGGATTTTTGGACAGATTTATTCCTACAAGGAAGAAATAGAACTTCAGAATCAGCTCGGAATTGAACATCCCACTGAGCCATTCTACCCGCAGACATTATAAGTACACTGATTAACGCGCACAAATACGCAAATACACAGCCTAGCTTTGTTTGTACGCAATACTTTGTAGCGCGCAGTGATGAATTCAAGCAAGAATTCTCAAAATAATCAGACATAAATACTGTGTAAAGCAAGAAAAACATGCGCAGCATGAGCTGTTTGTTCCGATCATTTTTTGGAATTGCAAAACTATCAGCAGCGATGAAGAAGTTCCTGGATAAAGCAAGGAATGCTGGATAAACAAAAAGAATTTAGGCAAAAGTGCTTTTTTCGTTGCGAAGTTATTGAAAATTGAAAATGCACTTTTTGAGATTTTCTTGATATTGGAAAAGTATACAAAATAGATATTAAATAAATAATGGTAAAAGAAATATTTTGTATACGTCGACCTATAATAACTGTAATGATAACAAGGAATTGAAGTTTCGAATAGTTTCCGCTCCAGATTCCGATGTTTCGATGTAAACATGAAAATTAAAATACTATACATAATCGCAGTAATCGCAGTAACTATTCTAACATAGAGCGCGAAATTATATGCAAGTGACATGGAATAAAGCGAATAGAGACTGTAAAAATGAAAAAAAAACGTTATCTTAAGCATGGAAAAATGACAGCCAATAGTAGTACCTTCTGTTGATCACTTTTTGTTGCTTGATTTGAAACTGCTCGTAAATCGTATATAAATTCCGATGTTCGATAGGAAAAGACTGGAACTGCTTGAGAGGCAGTTTCCAAATTCACTGGCAACTCAAAAATGAAACAATAGAACAATGTCAAAAAAACTAAAAATTTTAAAGCCTATCAAAATGAGAATTATTTTTTTCTTTTTTATTTTTATTAATATAAAAATGAAGGGATTGATTAAAAATTTGGACAATTAATTGAAAAATTGGAAAAATCAAATGAACTAAAAAATATGCTATATTTACTGAAAATTGAGAAAATTTTCTAAAAAATCCATTAAATATTCATTTTTTGGGAAAAATGCAGACTCAAGTTTCCTTGCTACATTTTTCTAGATGCCTTTCTCATTTATTTTCGATGCCCACTAGAAAGAAAATCCGCAAAGAGCAATCCAGCAATACTTACGAGCGAATCTTTAACAGCTACCCCAATTTTTTTACTTTCAGATTTCAAATTTACTATCACAAAACAGAAGCCTGCCTAACAGAAGTCTGCAACATACGACTTAGTACATTAAACAACCATAGTACATTCTTTTCCTCACATTATTCGTTTTATTCTCATCAATATCATAACAATATCACAATTTCTTATCGTAATTCCACTAGAAAATCAATGAGTTGATAAAGGAATAGAAAAAAATCAAATTTAAAATTACCTGAACAGACGACAGTGAGCGTTGTGTGCGTGGCGCTGAACCAAGCATAACGATTTTTCGTCGAAAGTTCCTTGATGGAATTGGTGGCAAACTCATCGAATAAGTTGGTTTATTTCTTATCGAATCTATAAATTAAATAAATAAATTTTATTTTAATGGAAAAAAATACCCACACGCGTCGAGAACAAAAAAATTACATTTTTCATTTCACATGAAGAAAAAACAAATAAAAGAATATTAAAATATAAAATGGTTGGATTAATATTGGTTTATCAACAAGAATAAAGAAATATTTTTTTAAATTTTTTTATTTTTTCTTAAATCAATATAAATACACGAACAAACTTTGGAAAAAAGAAGGGAACAAACTAAAAGAAATAAAGAGAATGAAATAATTGAAGTGAGAAGAAAATTGGAAGAAAAAAATAAAAATTGGAAGGCAAAGTTCCTTATTTGATGAAGAAATTCGAGACAAATCTTTCCTACAAACCAATAAATGCTATCAGTGAAGTGAGCTATTTACTTATCACGCTTTCTTATCATCGACATTCATCACTGATTACAAGTTTCAGACATGAAAGTGTCATTAAAGTTAAAGCTTAAGCTACTGAAAGCTTAAAAATTTTACTTCTTCTTAATGTCGAAAATGAATAAAGCGAATGAAACAAAAAATGAAAGATAGAAACTAAAATTCTGCTCGATGGAAAAGTTTCCCTATTATTTCAGCAAATAAATCCACCAGCTCCATAAAATTTATCACTAAGATTTAAATTCGCCAAATAACTATGATAAACTAAGGCCACAAAATATTAATAACTGAGCGGAAAGGAAAAGTGATGCCAAACACATAGGTGCGAAAAGTGCTGAACAGGATATAACCAGGAAATAAAGAAATGAATCTGCACGAATGCGTTTGTAACTGGCTTGCATACATCACTTAACGAATCGAGAGGTCAGATTATGAGCTCTAGTCGAAAGCATCGCATAATTTGTCCTAGTTGATATAACCATTCACTGTGCATTGCTGCTCCAGGTTATTCCTTACACAACTGCAGACTTCTTTCTCGTTAACCTCTCCTCAAATCGAACATTTCACCTACAAGAAAAATACATAAATTTCCAAGATTTTTTTAGGATTATTTTTCTCATACGTAGGAGTACACCAGATTTTGAACTTTTTACGCTCACTGAACCTATCACGAAATTCGAAGTGAAGAAAATAGGACATGGATATTTACTGACTAAAAAGCTCCATTCTTATCCTCTGATGAAATGGATTGCAGTCAGCACAAATGGTAAGTGCCATAGGTCCAATTCCTCTAGCTCCGCAACAAAAGTGAATTCCGGGCAATGTCAGGGATCTTCGCAACTGCGAAGCGATTCTCTGACGAAAGAATCTTGATTTAAATATTACAACGCAACAGGCTTAACAAATGGTGCAGTTGAAGGGTGAAAGGTAAAGGACTTTTCACGGTCTCCTTTTTCTCAAATAACGATTGACAATGAGTCGTTCACGTTTCACTCGTTTCACTTGTTTCCATGGCCAAAGTGGTTTGTCACCACAAATTTATAAGAAAGCAAAAAATTGATATCCAATTTAACATACATTGCGAAATTAATACGGAAATAAACAAAGAGATATTTGAATTTGTCTCGAAATTATATAAAACACAATCAGAAATAATTTGTGATGGAAAGGTGCATCCGAGAGGTGCATTCATCAAATGATCACCAACACGATCACCACCATTTAACTTCTCTTTCTCTCTACACCATTAATTTCCTCTTCATCTTTCAATTTCTTCATTTGTTATGTCAATCGCTACTGCGAACATTGCGAACCGAATAGTTCGGCGCCTTCTTACTACGCATATTTTCCATTCGGTTAGAAGCTCGCACACCTCGTTATTTGCAGTCACGAATTGCGGTGATTGTGTTCGCTGCACTGGCTGAGGATGGGGCAGTTGTGGCAGTGAGTCCGGAAATACGAGTTTGTTTCCAGCGCAGTTCGGAGGTTTACTCCTATGCGAGGTCCGAAAATCCTTTGATAATCCAGTCACTTGGCTCTTTTGCCACAATATTTTAAATTGTAACGCTTACAGCAAAAAATGAACGAGTAATAAAGAGTGAACAAGTATGATATATTCCACGTAAGTATAAGCTTCAAGATAGATGCCTTAAATATTTCACGCATTTTCTTAGGTAGTGAGTCCAACAGTCTAAAGCTTAAGTCTTCATAGCTGCAGACCTTTAGACATTTTCATTAACAGAACATCTTTCAATCAGTTTTCACCAGCAGCGCAAGCCTTTCGCAAGTCTTTGAGGTGGTTGAATATGCATTGGAACTTCTAGGATATCAATTTCGGAGAAATTTTCCTAAATTTACAACGTTACATTTCGAACTTAAAATTTTTTTGTAACACAGAACAAAAAAATGAAAGCGTTCATTTATCGTTTCGTTGGTTTCGTTCTAGAAGAAGGTTTGTCTTAATTTTTTTATGAATATAATTTATTAATTATAAAACAAAATAAAATTTTTAAAAATTTAAGTATACAACGTATGTGAGTTATCAATTTTTGAAGAGGTAATGCAATGCGAATATTGAAGAACAAATTATCGTAAAGCTGTTTGAAGCGACTTACAGCAAATAAAAAAAATTTTTTA